GAAAATGGATTTGTATTTGCTTTGCTTCTCGGAAGCATATTCATTTGCTTCGGAGACATTTTTTTTTACGAACACCGCCCCTTCTATGAAATCATTTAAATGGATACATTGAAGAGAGTGCGATCCACGAAGCAATGAATATGTTTCCAACTTCGTTTAAACTCTTTTATTTACGACTTGTTCATCTACGGACGTTTTACCAGTGCCTGTTTTTCTGTCGGGAAATATCGTATCAAACATTTTAGAAAATCCCATGAGCAGTGATTATAATTTTTTTGTTACAGAGAATGCATTCTGTTGTTGCTTTTTTATCACTTTATCTCCATTATCACTGCAGTGCAATGCAATCGTATCGCGGGTAAAGCTTTTTACATCAGTTTTTTTCTTTTTTTTTTTTTCTTTAAATGTATAGGAAAAGGACACAATCTTAAGAGGCTTTTGAGAGGAAGGATCGTATAGAAACCGTGGTATAGCTCTCTTCACATATTTCACTTTTGACCTTTTATTTAATATTTTTTTTTTTTTTTGGAAATCGGATTTAACCTGCTAACTTCGCAGAAACAGCAGAACAGTGTCATAGTATCGCATAGATGCCGTGGTGTAACTGCATCCAACGTGTTGTTACGGAAGTCCCGCGAAAAGCTAGCAATTGTTGAAAGAGTGTGCTGCACAAGTTCAGACGACAGAGGGTATGTATGGGGTGCAGTACCTATCTTTCATCTTCTGGCTGTTCAGTGGTGCAGTGGTTTAGCACGTTACGCTGAATATGGAGATCAGTGATTTAATTCCATTCTGATCCACAATCACTGTCAAAAAGAAACTCCGTCCACGAGACGTATGGATGCATATCAGCAACACCACTAACATTGGATTCCCACTTCCAGTTGTTTAGGCGATCTTGTTACTCATAGTATTTTGCATTTCTCAGAAAATAAACTGCCTGCACTGCCGTTCATCATGATGAACTGGCTGAGAAAAAAGCAGGATTTCACAGATGGTCCAAAAGGGCATTTTAGAATTCATTTCATTAAACTTTCAATTTTTTGCAGCTTAAAAATTTTTTTTCTTATGCCGAGCATTGAATGATAAATGGAAAATGTTTACGCAATATGTGGTATTAAAATACGGCTCAAATTGTTCCATTATTTCGTACTAACTCTAATAAAAAGCAACTCACTGAGCAATCTGGCTGTTTACGACACTATTTTACAATTTTTTTTAAATCCACAGACATGCTAAAGAGTATGTATCGCGTGTTTTTTATCACGCCTTTAGTGGGCCAAATTTCAACACTTTCGACCTTTTATTTAATATTTTTTTTGGAAATCGAATTTAGTTTGCTAATTTCGCAGAAGCAACAGAACAATATCGTAGGGGTATGCAGCGCAGGATCAAATGATTGGAACAGCTTTACACTAACACCGGGCAATTCCACGTCGAAAGTATGGACAGCCTCAGTGAAGTTCAGGAGTAATGGAAGAACTGATAAGCGTCCCTGATCAGTTTCAGTGAAAAAAAAAAAAACAATGTTTGCCTGCTCAGTGGGTTTCAGTTTTGTCTTTTTAGGTACAGCCTTTTACGTTTTCAAACAACGAGCACAGAATGGCTAGAAAAAGTGGAAGCTGATGGTTTTGCTCTAAATCACGTAAGCTATAATAGCTAATTTCATTGCTGCTTTAAGCCAAAGCGACAAAAATTTTCTTTTTTTTCAACTTGAAAATTAATGACGAAATGGTCACACGATGCTGTTAAGTATGATGAGCCGAAAAGGCCGTTGATTGATATATGGGCAGAACCGAATAGGTACCGCAAGCATGCCGATGTACTCGTTGCTCCAGAATTCCTAGACACTTTCCTGGTTTTACTCAAACGGCACGGCGTAAGTGATGTGCAAATCATCAAAAAAGACATA